GAGTTACACCAATACCAGTGCCAATCAGCACAGCGATTTCGTTCTCGAAAACGTCTTCCGCAGGTGCTCCATACGGTCCATCAATTCGAAGACCCGGCATTTGTTGGCCATTTTGCAGCGCAACCTCATACATGCCCATGGGGTCAACACCTTCGTAGAGCTTGGCTTGGGCTCCACCTGCACCTGTAGCATCACCCAAGGCGCGGGTGAAGTCTCCTACCTGTCTAACATGAACGGACACATAAGGATCGAATGGGCATGATGTGATGGTGAAAGGATGCCACTGGTACTTGGAGATAGAAGGAACCTGGAGGAAGAGCCACTGACCGGCTTTGTACTTGAAGGATGGCTTGTTGAACTGAATTTCGACCACGTCATAGGGGTGACGGACAACGCGAGTGATCTGAGTCTCACGACGAGCACGGATTTCGCGATACAGGCGCTCGATCAGGTAGAGACCGCCAGTCCACAGCTCCCAGCGCCAGCCTAGGTAACCGATGCAATGCGTCCAGTAAGGGTCGCCAGCAAAAGGTGAAAAGGCATCGACGGAATCGCGGACGAAACAGCCCACAGTGTGGGTATACAAGGCCAATAGGAAAGGAATGAAGAGATGGTGTGTGTACCAGAATGTTTCGAAGGACTGCTGGCGGATACGTGAATGGGCAGTGGTGTACATCAGTAGCATGCAGAGCAGCATGACGTGGCCGGTAATGCCTCCGGCTTGGGCGTAATGAATTTGAAGAGCGCTGACGGGCCGAATTTGGGTTTGCTCAACGTTATAGAAATTGACGTAATGTGCAGAGACATGGAGAATAGCGAACACCAGAAGAGCATATGCCAACTGTCGGTGAAACCAGAGGTTCTCATCAAGAGGCAGAAAGCGAACTTTGGGTCGAAGCCAGCGCATGATGGTGCGGCAGACGGGTAAAAGAATGAGCATTCCATCAACGCTAAGAACCAGACCAGCACCTCTTGAAATCCAGACTGAGAATTTCAGAGTGTTTAAGCCTGCAAGTCGGTCATCTGAAGCTTGTTTATACCTAGAATTTGCTACTGATCAGACCTTTCCGGTTCAATACAGGGGCTGAGAAGAGATTTTCTGCCCGATTGCTATTACTCACCAACCATAAGCAAAAATACCCCAATGAAACGTCCAGAAAAGAATATGAAAAAACATTTTCTGGGGGGTGAACTGTTTGCGAATTAACTCGCGGTAGCCGAATTGTCCCGCCATATTGTGTAGGGTTTGTTCAGCCAATTTATAGAGGGTGTTGGTGTCGACCGGCGACAAAGCGAGCAGGATCCCGTGCTCAAGATGCCTCTCGCTCCTGGCCGACGTTTTCAGTCTCCCCAAAGCGCCGCTGCCAAAATTGCAATGTTTCCTTTATCAAGACGAGTGTCCAAATGTCTTCCCAGAGTTCAAAACCAAAAAAAAATCTTCAAAAATTATTGTCGCGGACTAGTCACCAATGCAATTATAATGAGAGCCGATCCAGTAAAGAGCGACTTGTCGGGAACCGAGAGAGAGAGAGAGAAATAAAGAAGGAACAATCTGAACCAGCAGTAATGAAAGTAGTGGAAAAAGAAAGAAGTCCCAGCCTTGCCTGCGACAAGTAGGATAGGGATTAGGCTCAAATATGAACGGAAACAGTGGCGCAAAGCGGTTGAATTTTGGCAAACGAGACGATGAGGAACGGCCAGCGTCCGTCAGGGTGGTGACGGAAAGAATATGTCGAGTCGCAGGTGAACCGCGTATCTAACACTGGCGGGACTGTGGCTCTGTCCTAGATGTTCGGATGGGAATGAGATGGAGCGTCAAGAAAAGCGTGAAACTTTTCGCTCTCCTTTGTTTTGTTGTACTGCTTGCACTGAAAAGCACCCCAACAAATCGAAATAAAACTTCTCAGGAGGCAGGTGGCGGATTGGGACACAGCGGGCTGAGTATGAGGAGTGCTTATACGGATCGGATGGCGTAGATCATACGCGACCAATATTCGGGTGCCGTGAAAGATTATGCTTGTCGGAGATATATTCTGGAAATGGGATGGTGCGCCAGCAGAATATTGTGTCTTTGGTTGACAGGGTGAAGAACGACAGAGACGTGCGACCGCCAGTGTATGAGGCTGGCATTCAAACATGTGTCGATGGATGCGCCTGATGTTTCGGAACGACTGGGTTCGTAATGCGCAGTGGGAGCGGCGGCAAATGGTGACGGAGAGCCTACGAGCCAACGGGACTCGCTCTTCAAGTCGATGGAGGTAGAAAATAGCAATGAAGGAAGCGTTAACTCGAGAGACGGGGAAAAGAAGAGGTAAGGTTGGAAATTAGCTACCGTAATTATCAGTCAGGTGTTGCGCCCGGAGGGCATCGTGCATGTTCTGTTCTATTTTCATCGTTCGCCGCGCTGCCAGTTCCAGCTCTCCAGCTCCCCATGTCCCCAACTCCACTCACAAAAGCTTGCCGGCGCTTTCATGATTGTTCGGCCACTGACAGGCGACTTCTGGTCCGTGTTCGCACGTTTCGCGCGTTGGCTTTTGTGGTATTGGCGGCCGCCAAGCCTTTTCTGGAGAGGGGTCACAGATCCCGGCGCTTAGAGATGGGCTGAAGGACCAACGAGATGCGGTGAACTGGTCATGGAGGACGCAAGGTGAACACACTAATGGATAGTGGATCTGGTTTTCCTAACCACCTCGAGGTCTTAACAACGTTGATAGTGTACCCCCTGCCTGCCCCGATGGTGCCAAAAGACGCCCCAGTCAAGCCAGTGTTTGGGGTGGCAGGCTGCGGCAAGCCGTGGGGAACAGGGGCTGGTCGGGTTCCTTATTCACAGCGGGCCGTGTCAAAACGCAGGAGAGGAGAGTTGTCACCCGAGAACCTGTACTATTGAAGTCACGGCCGGCAATGCGAATTGGCAAGGAGCGCGGCGTACCTGGAGAGAAGCAAAGTGTTCTAACTAATAAAAGAAGTAAGGATGAACGAAAAGGATACTCCATGCAACGGGGACACACATGAGCTCGGGCTGATAGTAAAAGCTTAAGTAGCCACAGGTTCATCCAATCGCGCTTTCATGGCAGGCGCTCTCAATTGCTTGGGTTGTACGGAGTAGCAAGACAAGAGCGAACGAGCCACTTTTGACTTCTCGCCTGTAATAGGTGCATAGGTACGGAGTACTCCGTACTATGCTACAAATGAGGTCAGCTGCCGTACTCCGTACTGACATAACGAGGAGTCTCTCCGTCACCACGATACCATTCAGCTTTCTTGATCGACATGCAGGGATGCATTACGTGCGCACTGGACTACGGAGTATCGTATTTGGCCATTTGCCCGTCCAACCGCCTTCACTATCTACTGAGCCATACATAGATTGCCTCGGGGGGTAAACATTGTGAGGAGCCTTATTCACGGAGCAGTTGCAACGGAAATAGGCGCAAAGCAACCGACCGTCTAATTCTTAATATCCTGTCTCAACTCAAATACTAACGATGCCGCCAAACTACCCGCACAATATTATACTAGTATGCTGTTCATCTGTCTTTGTGGAACAATCTCATGCCTCGTCCGTCTCATGTGTGGAGTGGTGAAACTCCCTTTGTGAGACGACGCGGGCAGAGAACTGATTCGGCTTCCACGCATCCTAATGCGCCCAGTGGATCCGGATGACGGTTGAATGTCTTTTTAGCTGCCCAGGAAATTGGTCCCTTCACTGTTCAACGTTTCCAAAGAGGGTTTTTTACACGATAAACGAAAAAAAAAAACATTTCGCCCATTGTGAGATATCTCGGAGATTAAATGCATCGTCGTCAAGCAAGATATGGGTGACAGGCAGCTAGTAGACCCTTATTTCGCAGAAAAATAGGAATTTCGGAGAGACAATCTTCGCCCCACTTTTGCAGTGCCTGATTGTTAATGAGGTCCTAATCAACATCAGGGCATCAAGGTGCCTCGAGCTTCCAATTTCCATCATCTCTACTCTGTACAAATCCCCGCCAATACCATGAATACTCCCTCAGAGTCTGTTTTCGAAGCAGCGGAGCTGCTGGAAGCTATTCTCATATATGCAGGTGCTCACACGGTGCTCATCTCTGCCACGCGGGTGTGTCTGCGTTGGAATTCCTTGATCAATGCATCATTACCTCTTCAACGAGCTTTATATTTCCATCCAATAGATAATACAAATCATATAACGGAAGAGGGCGAGTCTATTTGCCACAAGGTTCAAAATCCATTTCTCAAGGATATCTTTCCCGCATGGTTCCGAGAGCCCATCGACCTGACATTTGACGCTTATAGGAGTGGTGGGGGACACAGGAGATATAGATCCAATTACCTAGCGCGAAGGATAATCGTGGAGACCTGCGACAAGTTTGGAGTGACGGATCTCTATAAACAAAGCCTCGCGTCGGATGACAATCCCTATCTTCGGTCATCGGCATCATGGCGGCGGATGCTGACCTCTCAGCCGCCATGTCAAACTGTCGTTGCTCTGTCTGGCACGATAGCGGGCGATTGGAATTTACCATACGTTGCGCACCAACAGGATGGTTTACGCATGGGCGATTTGTACAGCATTACGCTACGCCAATTCGTACATGACTTGACTGGATTCAAAGTTATATGGGCACACAACGGTGCCTTCGGCTTTTCCCAGCTGGTTAATCACCTGACAGAGGCAACCCGTGGATGGATGACAAGCAAGCTTGAAATGCGCGCCAGTCTTATTTGCTCCTGTAAACCTGATTTGGTGATCCAATTGCTTCGGACTCATGCTTTGGCAAGTGATTTACTTGACTCTAAACAATTCAGAACGTTCTGCAGGGGCTGTGGGTCAGGAGAGCTGCTCGCAGACCACGAGGACGGAGAGTCTAGTGTTATCTCATCCGGAAACCTCAGGTTCAAGCCGATTGAGCTTGACAGCAAAAGAATTGACGAGCTTGCGTGAATCTTGGAGCCTAGAACATAGGTCAGTTGATGCTCCTCTTGACTCCATAATTGGCTTAGGCAGAGTGTCAGAGTGGTTAATGAGTGAGACTAGAAATCTCATGGCTTCGGCCGCGCAGGTTCGAATCCTGTCTCTGTCGTGTAGTTTAATTTTTGCGATTTTGTGGCTGTGGATATGGGCGATGGTCCATTGTCCCTTTTTTTTCCCCTTGGGCATGGCGAGGAAAATGTGTGGTGCGGAGTGGACCTTTTCTACCCATATCCGATGCAAGGCCGGTGAGCTTCAGATGGTTCACTACGGAATAGGCACTTTTTATTTAGCCACGGGAATTTGTTCCAAATTTTCTGCATGTTATGGAAGACGTTCTGTCCTTGAATACAAATGGACGTCTCGGTTCTCGACCCTTATCCTCCAATGTCTACATTGGAATTTGTTGAGTACGGTATCGCGGCATGTGACCTTAGTGCACTAAAAAAAACCAATCTTGTTGTGGCCAACAGTACTGCCGCTGAGTAACTATCGGGGGAAGATTGAATTGCGCAATGGATGAAATTTCGACTGGACGTCGTCGCGGCTCGTGATCCATGTCAAGTAAGATAATCGCCAGTAGAGGAACAACCTTGAACGGACAACCGAACTCGTCACAATTCGAGCCCAAGAAACATGTTCTATTCCTCCATGAACCCAGCACTAAATACTAAACCTGTTTGGTAGTCTGGCTTATGCCTTGTTTCTGGATAGCAGTTGGCGTGGTCGCTTGCTCGAGCAGGTTTAGGCTCGGCCCACCGCTGAGTTCAATTGACGTTATGAACTGGGCGGAGCTGGGCGGAGCTCGGCGACGAGTGTCGCGATCAATATTGGCGCTGCTGCACTAAAACACAGATTAGCTCAGAACTCTAAATAATCTTGCCATTAACTCACATTCACGCGACGCAATCAGATAGATATGAGTAGGTTTTTATTTCAAGCAAACGGACGTTTTAATATTTCTGCAGCTTACGACCCTCGGCATTGACACGCTGCCTGCCAGGGAAGTAGAGCCATGACGTCATCTTGAATTGTTCAGGCTGCAAGGTTGTACCGCAGCACAGCCTGGCCGCAGCGGCACATTGGCAGATTGGGTCCGACGCTCGGTTGTGCTGAATTTAAAGCTTTTTCAGGCATCCAAGCCGGTCCGTTTTCAAACTTACATCCATCCTCGAATTAGCCCAGCTAAAGATTGAACTGATTGTTGTCCTAAGACCGGTAGCTGCCTTACGGATTAGTTTTACCCTGATATACACACATGGTCTGGTTGGAGCTGCGCCACCGAGGCTTCACTCCGCGTCGAAATCGCGAGCATGCCTCCTGCCATGGACGAACATGAAGATGTGCGGAGGTACCAGGCGCCATACAGCTCGCATAGACCTGTTCCTACAATCTCCAGATATCGCGAGGAAAAAGCGGCAAGGCAAGCTAACTCGTTGAAGAAAGACCCGAGTGACAAGGTGTCTTCAGAGCTTGACGCCGGCCAACAGGCAGATGAGCAGCGGCCAGAGGCATCGCCTAGTTATTCAAATGAGATTGACAATGAAAGCGAAGATGAAGGCGAACCCAGTCAGGGTTTCAAGGAAACTTCTCAGGTGGATCCCGGATCAACCGACGTGAAGCAGAGGAGGAAAGAATTGAAATCAAGGAAACGTGAACGGGCAGAACGAGAAGTAACCGATCCGGTTACACATCTCCCTGTAACCATTCATGACTTTACTGATCACGCATTGAAAGAGGCTGTGTCATCACATCCTGCCTTTACACCTTACAAGCGAACTGCCACTGGTTTAAGCACCAACGATAAGTCGGGAGAAGACTTGAAAAAGGAGACAAAAGATCTTCAAAGAGGACATGACGTGATGCAGAGTAAATTCCCACCGCCCGATTTCGACATGTTGAACCAGAATATAGCAGCTATTAACAGACGTGGCCTCACTTTCGGCTTGGGTGGTGTTGCTTTGGTTGTTGCCACGGCTCTGTTTCTCGGAGGATTTTCTCACCATGCACAACAACAACAAAGACTTGGTCTCAACTTAGAGGCTGGAGCCTCATGGTGGAGAGCCTTTCTCTCTGCTTGTCTCGTTATTTGCACTACCGGAGCAGTCATTGCCGGAGTACGGCAATATACCACACGCAAGATTGGCAACATATTCCAGGACGAGATCTGGGATGCCCATCGTCAACAGCTGGCCGAAAGCACAAGAAACCACGAAACCGAAACGACCATTTGGCTTAATTCGGTATTAGGTGCAGTTTGGCCATTGGTCAACCCTGATCTTTTCGCTAGTTTGGCTGATACTCTTGAGGATGTCATGCAGGCATCACTCCCAAAATTGGTTCGAATGGTGAGCGTCGAGGATATTGGCCAGGGGAGCGAGTCGATAAGAATTCTTGGTATTCAATGGCTGCCTACCGGAGCTGCAAGCAGGTCTGTTGCCGTGAATGGGGAGCTTAGGTCTGCCAAGGACTCCGGCAGCAACGACAACTCGTCGCCCATCTCGGAGAAATCCTGTGGTGCTGATTCTGGCCTATCCAAGATGGATGCCATCGCTGAAGGTATGGAAGGTGAAGAAGGCGATTTCGTCAACCTAGAAGTGGCGTTTGCATACCGTACTCGTTCTAGTTCTCGAAGCCTCAAGGACCGAACGAAGGACATGCATCTTTATCTCGCCTTCTATCTGCCCGGAAACATCAAGATTCCAGTGTGGGTTGATCTTCTCGGAATTATTGGCAGCGTGAGATTGCGCATGCAGCTCTGCCCTGACCCCCCTTTCTTTTCACTCTGCACCCTGACTTTCATGGGACAGCCCAAAGTTGATGTGCGATGTGTTCCACTGAGCCGCCGCGGGCTCAACATTATGGACGTTCCCTTAATTAGTAACTTCGTTCAGAGTGCCATTGACGCGGCAGTGGCCGAATATGTCGCTCCAAAGAGCTTGACCTTGGACTTGAAGGACATGCTTGCGGGAGATGATTTTAAGAAAGATACAGTCTCAAAAGGCGTTTTGATGGTACGTATTAAAAGAGGCTACGACTTCAAAATGGGGGACAGCGCAATACCTTTAATTCGAGAAGGCAGTTCCGATCCGTACGTATCAGTGGGATGGGCTAAGTTCGGCAAGGTTCTTTGGAGCACGCGCATCCTGAAAACTGAAATGGAGCCTCATTGGGACGAAACATGTTTTGTGCTCGTTACGCCTGAAGAAGTCAATATCGAAGAGCGGATTCGAGTACAGCTGTGGGATTCTGATCGTTTCACTGCAGATGATGACCTTGGTCGGATCGAAGTGTGCCTCAAGGACTTGATGCACAACGCTCGATCCAGAGCCAAAATGTGGGATCGAACCGACGGATTCCGTGCACTTAAAGCTGGAGATGATATGCCAGGGAAACTGGAGTGGAGTGTCGGCTACTTCCCCAAAACTCGCATTCAGCAGTGTCAATTCGATCGACAGACACATGACCCTAAAATTCGGTCCATGGAGCAGCTGAAGGAGAAAGTTGATGAGACGTGTGAGCGCAAACTGCGCGAATTCATGATCAAAGAAGACATTAAAGTCCGGGACGAGGAAGAGCTGGAACAACAAATAGTCCAAGAAATGAAAACGGAAACGGATGCAATGATCATTTCTGCGCCTCCCCCAGACGACTATCCCAGCGGCTTGTTTAGCATTCAAATTCACAATATTACCGGGCTTGAAATTGAACTGTTGAACAAGCGACAACCAGATGATTACGATGAGGCGAGTGATGAAGAGGAGGAGGGCGACGGACTTCCAAGCTCCTACTGCACTGTCATCATCAACCACAGTAAAACGTTTAAGACGAGAACAAAGCCACAGAACTCGAAACCTTTCTTTAATGCTGGATGCGAACGGTTCATCCGAGACTGGAGAGACTGCGAGGTGTTTGTCTCTGTTCGAGATGCAAGACTTCATGAGGACAATCCTTTGCTGGGAATCGTGCATCTTCCCCTTGGTGATATGTTCAAAGACTGCTCCCAGGTTATGGGATGGTACCCCTTAAGTGGAGGAGTCGGGCGTGGCAGGATCAGATTGTCCATGGTATGGCGCAGCGTGAGACTACAAGCTCCTCGTAGTCTACTGGGCTGGCAGTATGGCACAGTTAACGTAGATCCCGTTGCTTTAAGTCCAGACTGTCCAAACGAGTTGAAGTCTTGTAAGCTGAAGCTCAAGACCGATATCTGCATGGGTAAGATGTACCCGTCGTCAGATAACAGGGCAAAATGGACTGCAAAGAAAGAGCAGAGCCTCCATTTGGCGGTAAAGAAGCGATACAGCAGCTGTATGGCTGTGGAATTCCGCGATAAGGGATTCTTGGGCGACAAGGTCCCTGCATTTTGCATTCTATGGTTGAAAGATATCCCTGATGAGGAAGAGGAGACCCTTGAGTTACCTATTTGGAAAGGTGATTATCAGCGGGCCTCCGTCAATTGCATGGATGAATGCGGCGAGAAGATTGGCGTGCTCAAAGTCAAGGTCACCTTCTGGGCTGGCATGGTAAGCCGACCACCAACAGTATTGTTAGGGAGACGTAGCTGACAATTTTTAAAGGGCCATGCACATTCGCAGTGGGCGAGCCGAAACCAACATACTCGGGATGTTGTTGAAGTTATTGATACAGCCAGAGATAATCTTGACACAGACAGGCTGGAAAAGCGGGCTGGTGTCGTGGACGAGGAAGCGTCTAGTGATAGTGACAGTTCGGATGACGAAAAGGAAGAGCTTCCCGATGGTAGTGCGGGGAATAAACAAAATGTGATTGAGCAGGTACGGGACTATAAAAGGAGGGACAAGGCGCTGCATAGGCAGCACCGAGGTCTAATGCAGTGGAAAGTGAGTAATGTATTTGGTTAAGTGGCATGAGTATCGTCTGCTAACAGAGACGCAGATCCCTCGCACAGCAAGGTGGGTGAAGCACAAGATTGGAAAGGTGGAAGAAAGCGTATCTGGTCTCTTTGATCATCAGAACAAACAGCCTGGCATTGAAACAGAGGTGTAAATAGAAGACTACTTGCAGTTTCCGGTGGATAAATAAGGCATCGACGGTGAAAAACGCAGGTACAAACTGCATTCTGATGGAAGGTAT